ATATACACCTCGAGATATCGTCTCCAGGCTTCGAACGTGGGTTTTATTGTAAATCTCAAAGATATGTAATGATCCAGTCGCGTTGATGACAGGTAATTTATTTACTCGCGCACCAGACAAACATTATCGAGACGTTCAAGTGTCCCGTTTGAAACTATTCATTTTGACTTGTTGTAAATTCGCATGTATATATATACAATATATAAAACATCGCTTTTCGAAAGTATCACAAACTATTGAACAATGTATTATATTTAGAATTATATTACAGAGGTGGGTTTCTTTTGGAATTAAAAATTTTTTTTCTGATATAAGAATATATTCCTGTCAGGAAATAAATGTCAAGTCAATTGCATTTTAAAGATTGTCATATGTATATATACGTTTTGTATTTTTTTTCTTCTTAAAATCCCTTTGTACGTTAACGTCACATATATGTGTCACTTATTTTAATTATAGATATTTTATTTTCATTTTAAAGAGTTTTATTAGATATAATTATTTTTTAGGCAAATTGTCATTTTTCAAATAAGCATTTAACAGAATTTCCATTTAAATGAATTTTTTGCATAACAAAATTTTTAGGTATCGTATTTTTATTTTACAGAATTTCTCCTTATAAACTATTTATTTAAAAAATTCTAATTTAACCGAATATTAATTTAACAAAATTTTGATTTAACAGAATATTAAGTGATTCAAATTTTGAAATGCCGCATATAATTTTAAGTTTACCGAATATCTTCATTCGTCGCAATTTTTATTTGATATAAGTTTTAAAAAGCCGAATTTCCATTTGCCAAAAATTGCAAATATCCAACAAAAACAAGTGACAGAAAGATTTCGGTACAAATTTAAAAATTAACCAATCATAATTTTTTTGATAACTTCAAATGGTTAATTTTAAAATTCGCGCCGTATTCTTATGTCGATTGTTTGTTGAATAAAATGAAAATTCGATGTTTTAAGAATTCTATTAAAATACAATTTCATTCAAATAAAAATTTGAACAAATAAAGATTCGATGATTTAGAAATTCTGAAACTTTTCAAAATTCGAATTACTTAGAATTCCGTTGAATGAGAATTTTGCTATTTAATAATTACTTAAATTCGATTTTTTAAAATAAAAAGTCGCATAAAGAGGATATTTATTACGTAAAAAATTCGTTTGAAAAGAACACAGAAAAAAGATGGTGTTATTTTTGTTGCGGGTAATTTTCTCCAATACTAAAACCCATAAGATATAACCCAGATTTAGGGTAAAATTTGTTGCGTGCGTTATTTTAACACCAATTCTGGTGTTAAAAGAACACTTTGTTTTTCCTGTGAAATACTACGTCAAATGTTAATTCGAAAAATAAACAATTCGTCTAAAAAATAATTATATCTAATAAATTTCTTTAAAATGAAAATTTTAAATAATGATTTTTATAGGAAATTCATGCGCCCTGCAAAAAAAACTACTACTAAATCGAATAGTAATATTCACACACAAATAACACATTCAACAAATCACCACAATTTCGGGTTTAAAAATTCTCCAATTGGAATTTGTCATTTAAAAATGCGAATCAGATAAAATTCGATTGAATGAGAATTCTATCAAATTAAGATTCGATTAAATTGAAGTTCTTTTAAATTGATTTAGTGGTTCAATTTTTTTTTTTTTTTAATGACTTCCAGTAATCAAATGGTGTACTTTTAAGATATTTATTTTGCTGATATATATCATGTTAATAATTAATTTATCATTAAAATCATTGATTGTTATAAAATATTCTATATATATATATATAAAATTGTTACAACCAACCCCTTGCTCCCCTAGTCCGTACAAAAGAGCAAAGCTCATAATAAATCGGTGTTGAGGTATCAATACTGTGTGTTAGCGGTTCGCGCGTTGAATGGAGTGCGGTTTTAATAGGATGAGAACACACAGAGAGGTTGTCGGTTATATACCTACGTGGAATAACGATCCATGACGAATTTAATGGACAGCTTCGCCCAGAGCCTTTTATCCCACGCGAAATTTACACGAACGAAGATGATAACAAAGGAGAAGTTAGAGCAAGAGGAAAGCGTGAAAATTGCGGACTCTAAACATTTATATACACGATACCCTGACGTCGTTTTTTCAATTCATCACACAAAATTTTCCCTTTCGTGTATATACATTTTTTTTCTTCTTTTTTTTTGGTTTATTATTTATTATTATTTTCTCTCTCTATATTTGAATTTTATTTCAAGAAAATCAATCTTCATTGTCGTTCACGAAGATCTTAATAAATTGCAGTAATAGCTTCCTTCCTCCAACAATGCATAATAAGTTTGTGTGTGTGTGTGTGTGTGTGTGCATGGATATTATGAAAATGAATAATAAAGATGTTTTGATTCAATAGTTTATGGCTAATAACTCAATAAAGTGAATCAACGACGACGATTTGATGATGGAGTTGAATTTTTATGGATACGAAAAAGACGAATATAGTTTGCACTTCTTTTTTAACTTTATAGATATACAGTAAAGAATTTTTATTTTTTGTAATTGACGATTCCCAGATACCGCACGTAAGCAATAGCTTGTCGCGCAATATTGCCAACCTTGCAAGGCAAACTTGCCGCAAACTTATTGCAAGCTTACAGAAAGATTGCAGTGTAAGGTTATATACTGCAAGATTGTACAATAAGATTATTACAAGATTGATGAGTAAACTTTCACGGTAAGCTTGTAGCAATGTTGGTGCAAGGTTGCCAAATAACTTTGATTTAAACCTAAAAAATTTATTTTTTAAAAATGTTTCGTCTTATTTATATAATCAAAAATTTATATAATAAAATTATATAAATTAGACGAAACATTTTTAAAAAAATAAATTTTTTAGGTTTAAATCAAGGTTATTTGGCAACCTTGCACCTACCTTGCTACAAGCTTACCGTGCAAGTTTACTGATCAATCTTGCGATAATCTTATAGTGCAATCTTGCAGTAACCTTACACTGCAATCTTTCGGTAAGCTTACCATGCTAGTTTGGGTCAGGTGGGACATTTGTAGCTTACAGTAAAGTTTGCGGCAAGTTTTACGTGCAAGGTTGTCGATATTGCGCGGCAAGCTTACATGCTATCTGGGTTTCTTTGTTGGTGTCCTTATTTCTTCTTCTTTTTCTTCGATTATAAAAGGAAAATATTAGTTTTCATTGAATTAAAGAAATTTATTTCGATATAATCTGAAAAGCTTTCTTCAAATCATAGTTTTTATTGAATATTTTTGATGTAATGAAGACTTAAACATCAATGGTTTGTCTATTTTCACTTAAAAATTTCAAAACATAACCTATAATTTTTTGCTTCATAGGTCCCTTTCTTCAGACCTCGTCAAATAATATCAATAATGTTTCTTCAAATTCAAACGTTCAAGTAAAAAATAAATCTGAATTTTTAAATTGAAAATTATTCAATTTTTCGGCTAATTATACTCAAACCATTTAATTAATTTGCTCGTTTCCTGTAATGAATTGAAAGGGAGATTCCTTGTTTTCTCGCGCGAGACATTCATTATTGTGAAGAGTAAAACCGCGAGAGGTTTTCGTTCTACAAAGAGAGAAACATACAATTCCGCTTATACTTAGAAGTATAAAATACAGTCTCCACTTAACCCTGCGACACGTATCATCACGCCTACTTCCATGTTCAAGTTTCCGGAAATTCAACCCCATAAGGCACAAGTTATAAGTATGTGAATCAAGGTTTCAGTGTATATATATATATATATATATATATATATATATATACATAAATAGACATTTTACGTGTATCTATATATATACGAATATGAATACATAATGACTTGAATAGACACGCCCGTTGCAATTACATATGTCCAACTATATAATGAATACGCATTTCTTCGTATGATTTATATAAGCATCGTCTCTTCGGAAATTTCACCTCAAACTTTAAAATTCATTTTGTATTCTGTGTTTTGTTAAAAAGAAAAAAATTTATATATAAGGGGAGTCAGAAAGTATTAATAGTTTGATAATTATCTAGAAAAAAAATATTCTAAAATAAAGAATAATACTTTTGATGTAAATCAAATATGAATAGTTAAAAACATAAAAAATAAATATATAAATTTAATTCTTGAAGTTTTTGAATATAAATACTATTACTTATTTACATATATATGGTAATTAGAGAAATATTTTTTTGACAGGAAGAAAAATTTTTTTATTCCAAGAATTTTATTATTTGAGTGAAAAATATATTTTTTTCTTTTTTAAGAAAACATTGTTTTAATTAAATTTTTTTTTAAATTAAAAATTAAACATTTTTTTTATACACCCAGAGAGTAATTTTTTGTTGCATTCAAATATATTATAAATGTAATTAAAATTTCTTTCCGTGAAGAAAGTGAATATAAATTTTTCTTTTATTCTCTCTCTTTAAAATTATATCAATTTTAAAAAGTTAAACAACTCATCAAGAATGTGACACGAGACACGCCCAAATCAGACAAGTACCTGTTCTATTGTAAATGCGTGCAAGATATTGTAAAAATAAATTCTGTGCCATAAGAAATGACATGTATTATTCAGTAAATTGATCGAACTCGAATGCACGCAATCCGATGAATACTGGGAAATATAGGTTATAAATAACATAGTCTGATATGGCATATATATATATTTACTTATGGATTTAAAATTAATTATTAATACATTATTAATTAATAACAACTAATAATATATAATAATAAATTTAAAAAATAAATAAACAATTTTTCAATTTTTTATAAGTACTTATTATTGTTTAAATATAATATATATATATATATATATATAAATAATAAATAGAAAGTAAAAAAATTATTTAGGTTTGAATTTTTTTTTTTTTATAAAAAAAATCATTCTTCCAATCAAAAAATATTAATTTAAAAAAATATAATAGAAAAATATTTTTATTACATAATGTTCAAAAAAAATTTTTATATAAAAGTGGTGAGCTTTTTTTTACCAATTTTTTTAATTTTTTCTCGAACAAACTGTACAGTCTGACTCGGATTTTGGAGTACAACAACATTCGTTCTTTTCGAGGGGTTCTTGAATTTTTTTAATCTGCGAAAAAATAATTTAATCAATTAATTTATTACTTAATAATAAAAAAAAATTTTTGTAACAGCAACTATTTGCCCCGTGTGATATTCCATTTTGCCCCATTTACCCCTATAATGCGGAAAATTTTATTTCTTTGTTATTTTTATTAATTTTTTAAATATATTATTTCTTTCTTTATTGTTTATTATTTTTTTATTATTTATAATATTTATTTTTTAAAAATAGTATATTGAATAAAAATAATTATATTTATATCGCTTTTACCTGCTCAACAGCAACTTTAATCTTTTTATTTGCATTTTCCAAATATTCCTTACATCGTTCTGACGTGCAATTGCCTAAATTGCATTTTTTCTTTACCGTCTGACATTCACATGGTGTATTGCAGAGTTTTGGCTCTTTTGTATCTTTCAATGATTTATTCTTCCCGGGAGAAAATTGAGTCTGCGATATATTCGCGATCAAACGTGCGAATCATATACGATTCAAACTCAAAAACATATATATCAAGTCATTACTTTGGATAAGTGGAAAAAAATAATAGTTATGATTAACCTGTAATTTCTCCCAATTCTTCTTGGAGGAATCTTTGATATTGTTCCATGTTCCTCTTCTCGATGAGTTTGTCGACTCCTCCTTTTCTTCCGGTTTACAAATTTCACCTTCCAATCTGCAAAAAAAAAAATTATAATTGTCTTTTTTTAAATAATTTTTATATAACCTTTTTTCAACCATTTTTTTTTTTTTTAATATGAAATACTACTTTGGGAATTTTTTTCTATTTTCTTGATAAGAATTATAAAATTTTAATTACAAAACTGAGAATTAGTATTACTAAAATTATTAATACTAACTTATTTTTACAATTCTTTTCGGCAAATTTTTTCCATTTTTCAAAATCGGTTTTCAAATACTTGGCACAAAATCCAGAACATGCTTGTAAATTGTTCACTTGGGTTATTTTATCAGTGTCCAGAAGAAAATTAGAAATAGACGATTTTTTGTCATATTTTGTACTATCATTTAAAATTAATGGCGGTTCAGTTTTTCGAAAAGTTGGACATTGCACAAAAAGTGAATATTCACGATGATATTGAACATTCTCTGCATCATTGGTGGAAATTAATTTTCTGTCTTTAGCTTGTGGTCTTAGAAAAACTTCCGGCTGTCTATAATCCCAATTTTCAGCACCCCTTCTTCTTATTTCTTCATTATTGTAATTTTTGCCTTTTTCTTTTTTTATCTTATCTTCTTTTTCTAGTTTTGATTTTTTATCTTTTTTAATTGGTTCTTCTAATTTTGCTTTTTTATCACTTTCAATACGTTCATTTTTGGCTGCTTCCATTTTCAAGCGAAAGTAATCGTCAATTTCTTTTTCTCTGTTTTTACGATTTTTTTCAATATGTGGTTTCCAATCTGTTTCTTTTTTCAAATTTTTTCTATCGCGTTCGATAAATTCATTCCTGTTATTTTCTTTCTTTATTTTTTTATCGTTCTCGTGATATAATGTTCGATCGCCTTCTTTTCGCACTTTTCTTTCTACTTCAATGGTTTTTTCCCTCTGTATTTGATTTTCCATTCTTACTTTTTGGTTCTCTTCCCTTTCTCTCTTTATTTTCTTATCAATTTCGGACAATTTTTCTCTTTCTCTTTCAGATTTTTCTCTTTCTTTATTTATTTCTTCCTTTTCTTTTTCCAATTTTATCCTTTCGGTGTCTATTATTTCTTTTTCTTTTTCTAATTGCTCTTTTTCCTGTGTTATCTGTCTTCTTTCAGTTTCAATTTTTTCTTTTTCTATTATGTCTTTTTCGATTTTTTCTTTTTCTTCAATTTTTTTTCTTTCTCTTTCTGTTTCTTCTTCTTTAATTCTTATTTTTTCCAAATTTGCTTTTTCTATTTCCTCTCTTTCTAATCTTTGCCTTTCTTTTTCTATTTTCTCCTTTTCTTTCTCTATTTTCCTCTTTTCTCTTTCTAAATTTTTTCTTTCTTTTTGTTCCCTTTCTATTTGCTCATTTTCTATCCGTTTTCTTTCTCTTTCCATTTCTTCTTTTTCTAATAGTTGCCTTTCTTTTAATATTTGCTCATTTTCTATTCGTTCTCTTTCTATTTGTCTTCTTTCTCTTTCCATTTCTTCTTCCATTCGAACCATTTCCAATCTTTTCTTCTCTATTTCTTCTTTTTCTAATCTTTGCTTTTCTCTTTCTCTTTTTTCATTTTCTAATCGTTCTCTTTCAATGTTTTCTCTGTCTTCTCTTTCTATTTTTTCTTTTTTCATTTCTTCCTCCATTCTCACTTTTTCCAACTTTTTCTTCTCTATTTCTTCTTCTTCTAATCTTTTTCTTTCTTTTTCCATTTCTTCTTTCATTCTCACCTTTTCCAATCTTTGTCTTTCTTTTTCCATTTCTTCTTCCATTCTCACCTTTTCCAATCTTTGTCTTTCTTTTTCCATTTGTTCATTTTCTAATTTTTCTTTTTCCATTTTTTCTCTTTTTCTTCCTTCTTTTTTTATTCTTTCTCTTTCCATTTCTTCTTCCATTTTCACCTTTTCCAATCTTTCCTTCTCTATTTCTTCTTTTTCTAATCTTTTCCTTTCTTTTTCCATTTCTTCTTCCATTCTCACCTTTTCCAACCTTTCCTTGTCTATTTCTTCTTTTTCTAATCTTTTCCTTTCTTCTTCCATTTCTTCTTCCATTTTCACCTTTTCCAACCTTTCCTTCTCTATTTCTTCTTTTTCTAATTTTTTCCTTTCTTTTTCCATTCTCACCTTCTCCAATTTTTCCTTCTCTATTTCTTCTCTTTCTAATCTTTGCCTTTCTTTATCCATTCGTCTTTTAATATCTTTATCCAAGTTTTCTCTTTCTATTTGTTCCTTTTCTAATTGTTCTTTCTCACTTTCCATTTGTCTCCTTTCTTTTTCCAATTGACCCTTATCACTTTCGATTCTTTCACGTTTTTGTTCAAATTTTTTATCATGTAATATAATTACATTTTCCTCCTCAATTGTCACTCTTTTATTGTCAGCTTCTGATTTTCGACGCTTTTCATTTTCTGTCCCCTCTAGTTTTATCGAAACCCTTCGCTCCTCAGGTTCGGCTTTTATTTGATTTTCTTGGTCATTGCTTTTTGTTATTTCGTTTTCTTTACTGCGTTTCTTTCGATTTCTCTTCTTTCGTTTTCCGCTATTCGTTTTAGTGGATTTTTTTCTTTCCTCACTTTTTAATGTCGTCGTTGACCCTCTTTTTTTCTTGACCTTCTTCGACTTGGACTTGTTTTTCGACATTTCAGATGACTTGGTTTCATTGGACGATTTCTTTTTCAACGAATTACAACAAAAGCAAATTTTTTTCAATTTTTGAAATCGTCCTTCTTCCTTTTTGGGTGTCGATGTGCTTGCATTTGACATTAGAGCATCCGTTTGAATAGATTGATTTTCATTTTGTGGACCTGAAATTCAAGGCGAAAATAGTTAATTTATAATAATTAATGACACTTTATTTATAATTAAAATTGATAATTTTAACCTTTTGTTTAGTTTCACAATATTTCGTAATATTTTTTAGAAAAATTTTTCATTATATGGTGAAAAGATTAAATATTTTGTTTTTTTAAATATTTGTTACCTCTTTTCGAATTCATAATTGATACACAAAATTGTTGATATAAAAAATCTTTATCATTCTTTTGAACTGTGAATGGGGATTCCAACCTTAAAGTTGGAAATCCAAATTTAATATTTTAAATACATGAAAGTATATTTATAAAAAATTTTCTTGTGAGAAATATTATTATTTCAAAAAAGATATCAAAGCTTATAAAAACCAAAAATATTTTTTAACTTTTATTTATACACCAAATCATCGAGTATTATTTATTGTTTATTAATTGTAAGATCAATGAATTTGTCTGCTATTCAAAATAATCGATACTATCGATTTGAAAGCATTTTTATTATGGTTAATTTTCATTATTATTTTATTTTTATAATTTCAACATATTTTTCAAATCTATTTACTTAAAAATGTTATTTAAAAATTGGTCATTTAAAATTTAATTATAAAATTTTTTTTGCTTAAAAATAGTTATTCTTAATTTGCTCAGTGAATTAAAATATTTATATTATAAATCAAATATATTTTTTTTTTAGATTAAATTAATTATAATTTATTATTTTATTTTATAAGTAAATTAGGAAATATTTTTGGTTTTTTAATATTTCAAATATATATTTATTTTATGAAGAATTTGAACTGGAGGCACTATTATTACAATAACAATTGGGTATTTCACTAGCACATGATGCTGAACAACTGGAACAAGGACATTCTGAAGATCTCATTAAAGCCTTTTCACGAAACAATAAATATGTTTTTGAACCAATTTGCAAATTTTCCATTCCCTGAAGCGCTGAACATCTCGCAATTATTGTTATTCTCTCTTCTTCGGTTTCTTTTTCATTGTCCTCGCCATTATTCCCTTCATTATACTGATAAATTATTTGAGAAAAATAAATTTTTTTTTCATTTAGTATAATAAATATAAATTTTTTTTTTATATGAAATAAATTTTTTGTAAATTTACCTGCATCATTTCCTCGAGAACAATTGTTTGGTCACTATGCTTTTTACGCTTTCTCCAGTGTCTCAATATTTTAGGGAACTTAAAATCCACTGTTGTAAAATTTGGGGTACACCGCAGACAAGTAAATCTTCTAAAGTCAAAGTGGTACCGACATTTCCTGCAGAAAGCTATATCTTTTCCTGGAAACCAGAAATGGCGAAGATTAGACTAATATATATGACATTTTCAAACTGCGTAAAATATGCAACCACACTCTCGTGGTTTGTTAATTTATTATAACTGTAACTTATATTATTTACTGAAACTTTGTTACAAATTGAAAATTATTTTATTGTTTAAAAATTATAATTTGAAACCTTTTAAATTAATTATTAACATACATAAATAATAATATAATTAATTATATTATAATGAAAATTAAATTTTACAAAAGTTAATCATTTTTTTGTATCAAAAAAATAAAATTAAATAAATAATTTATTAAATAAGAAATTAATATTTATATTGAATTTAATTTTATCGCAAATGAAAGAATTGTTATTACCTTCAGAGACTATATATATATTTTCCGTAGCCTGTTTGTTTCACTTATATTTTCAAATGTCAGTTGACTTTTCAAAAGAAACCAACTCTGTTTTATACTTACATCAGTGTCAAATTTGATTAGGCGGATGTCTTTGAATTTTCAAGATACAATCTAAACAAGAACACCAGCTGGCTAGCGTTTCACCATCATTTACCTCCTCGAAAGAAAGTTCCTTTTCTCGTCAAAATTTATTGTCTTAGAATTTATTGACATTTGCTTTTTTCATTTACAATCTTTTGTTTTCACAAGCAACACTCAACTCATTGTTTTTTGTATTGAATTTTATAAAACAATTTTCATTTCCTTCTTCCTGCTTCTTTTCTTCATTATTTCACTATAGAAATGAATTTCGAAGAGAAATATAATGTCGAAATTATTTTTATGGAATAAAATTAAAATTTAAAAATAATTTTAATTTAAGAATTATTTCAATTAAGAATTCAATTATTTTATTCTTTACCTACAATTTCAACAATAATATTATTCATTTCTATTCTAAAGCATTACTATTAACATATTATTTTTCTTTAATTCGAAAACACATTAAAAATTCTCTTCATTCATTAAATTTCTTTCGAGACAAATTAAGAGTTAAAATTCTTTATTTCCCCTTGCCATTGATGTTAATTGTGCAATTCATACTATATCAAAAAAATTTCTCACAAATGAATAATATTTAAAAAAAAAAAAAAAAAAGTGTGACCTTTCATCATAAAAAGTGATCAATTAATCTTTCTGCATAATAATAAAGACTTTAGGGAAAAAAAAGTGAATTGAATTTGACTCCAAAAGTGGTATACCGTAAGGAAGAATATATATATATATATATTCAGACAAGGATATTGTATAATATAGTCGTATTGAAGAATAGTCAAGTCTTTATTCGTGAAAAAAAAGTGAATCGACATTAATTTCGACACTATATGTATACACGATATATGTCGGTGTCATTCATGTGTAAAGTGAGCGAGACCCAAAAGATTCATCTCGTGATTTTTCGATGCTTTTTATAAAACCGCCGACGACCTGAAATCTACCGAGAAAGCGATCTCACGCATTTTTGAATTTCCATTCTATCGCAAAACACAACCTATTTGCCTTCTCATATATATATAAAGTCGACCGCAGATAATAAAGAAATGTATTGTGCATACCAATAAGCAAATCGTGCATCCAACCAAAATAAAAATAATCCATAAGAATCTCGCAGGTGTCACTAAAAAAATGAAGAAAGCTTCTTCTTCTATTTCTTCTTGTGTGTGACAAGAAAAATACGATAAAAAGTCAAACGAGATATTCTCCGCGGAAAAATGAAACTTTTCATATATATTATATTTGAACACAAAACAATTCTATTCAGGTGCAAAACGTCCTTTGGGTTTTCTAAATTTCTCAATAGAAGTCAAATGTCTTATGAAATATGGAGGGGTTCCTAATCGGTCGAGCCTCTTAAAATTAGAGTATTCAAGTGCAAAAGAGATATTCTTCATTTTTAAAAGGCGTATATATATATAGTATCTTCAAACTCAGGGTGGCCCTGAAAAGAAAGAGAAAAAAAAATTCCCTGTGGTCCTATATTAGTGTTTAAAAGAGACCTTCATTAAAAACCACCAACTTCTTGTTTGATATTCATAGTACAATAAACTAGACCTATTTAAATGTCATATAAATTAAATTCTTTGAAATCTATTTACATGTCAAAAGAGATCATCTTAAGAGTTGAATTTTAAGACGAGGAGAAGATTTTCTCATAGAATTTTTTAGTAGCTATATGCGTTGTCAGAATTAAATTTTCTGATAAATTTTAGATTTTTTTGATAACTAACAAATTTAATTGGAAATTATTGAACTTACCAACAATAGTAATTATACTGTAATTGATAAAAACTTAATAGATAAATAACGACGAAAGCAGTTATTATCGACTAAAGTTACATCATCACGATTGAAATACCAATTCTAATGACATGTTATCAAAATATAGAACCCTTTTTATAACATTTCTATTCCTTTACAATATTGATCTGTTATATGTATGTATTTATAAATGACACTAATTGAAAAGAAATTCCATAAATATTTCTCTGAATAATGTATTATATATATAATAAATTATTTATTTTCCTCGTGAAATGCGTGAGAGCAGAAGGAATCATAAAAGTGAAACGCTAACGAAAACATTTATAATTCCTGAGGACCTAGAAGAATTTAAAAATTCGTTCTACCACACGGCATGCTATAATAAGTATAGTAATATAATTTTCGATCTTGAATGGGAGCATGAAAATCCTTATAGAAAGGCGGAGGCAAAAGCTCTATATGTATAATATATAACAAAAGTAACAATTACTTTATTTTGACTTTGCGGCTGCGAGTCTTCTTCCTTTTCTTGTGTGACTCTTATTCTTTTTCGGAGACTACACTTGCACGTGAAAACACGGAAAAAAAGGTCACCCATTGGGTATTTACCTGTTCAAGCCTGTCACCTCTATGAAGATTGTCGAGATCTCCTGGATCGCGACAAATGGCTTTTGGAAGCTCTTTGTCCAATGCCGAATTCTATAAGAGTTTCTTCTTCTTTTTTTCTTTCTTATTTCCATCAGTGAGTTGACTCTTCTCTCTCTTTCTCCTGACAAACCCGCGCTCTAGCTTATGTATATCGTTTATGCTTGTGTCTCCTCAAGAGATGCAATATACCCACCATGATGGCAAACAATCTATTCAATCAAGATTTACGATATTCCCCGCGAGATGCATCCGCGATGGACCATTTTCCAATACTATTTCTCCTTCCGTCTTTTTTATCACTAAAAAAGAAACCAATAAAATCAATTTATTAGGAGCATATACAGCTTCTTTAGCTCTTATATATGTCTCGTTTATTACCTCTTCAATTATGTAGTTCTATGGAATTTTTTCCAAAAGAATAAATGTTTATGACACTGAGAATCGTTACTCTCCTAAAATATTTTAGTTAAATTGAAAAAAGTTAAAAATGACAAGTTATATTGTCATCTTAAGTACTTGATTATAGGCACATTTTTCATCATTAGGGTTTCTACGCTATATATTCTGAAAAGATTGAATGACCTAGAATTCTCACAGTATTTTATTTTGGTCTATTTTTGGTAACTGCCGTTAATATGGTAACAGTTATTATATGATATCGGTTACTGTGATAATGGTTGCTATATATCAACATTTGCGGTGATATTTAAACAAATTTTTCGTTCATTTGAACGATCAGAATTTTAGGACATTCGAGATAACAGCCTTATCGGGCACTAATCAGTTTCTCTAGAAAGAGCCACACAAGAGATAGGGAAATCTAGTTAGTACCCCATCAGGCCCACATTTTAATTTCCGATATACTCTCTGAACTTGAATTAGAAAAAATTTTAATTAATTTTAATTAGTGACTCACTTTTTCCTCACTGAGAAAAATATATGCTATTGAATCAACAGCATTTCTGACAAAGGTATAAAAATTATTGATTCAAAAGCATACTCTCTAAATTTGAATCAGCGATAAGTATACCACTGGTACCAATCAACGGATATACGCTGAAAAATCAGTGAAATTCCACTAATTCATCAGTGCATATAAGCTGATTAGAATCAGTGGTATACTTATAGCTGAGAATCAGCGAGATTCCGCTGATTCAAATTTAGAGAGTATGCTATAAAATATGTAAAATATTTTATACATTCTATAGCATATGCTTTTGAATCAATAATTTTTATACCTTTGGCAGAAATGCTGTTGATTCAATTAGCATATTTTTCTCAGTGCTTTGAATTTTTTAAATTTTACTAATTCGATAGGACAAAATTTTTTTCTACTATTAGTAAAATTTAACTAATTCAAATGCAAAAAGTGGGTCACCAATTCAAATTACACTAAAAAAAGAAGTATATTATTTTAAGATGTTTTGATAGCGTTTTCAAGACATTATAAGACATCTTATACATGTATGTATAAGATGCATCTTAATATCTTAAAATAACGCTACCAAAACATCTTAAAATAAGATACTTCTTTTTGCAGTGTAGTTGAAATTTTTTTAAAATCAAATTTAGAGAGTAGTTTTTTCAAAAATATATAACTGCGCAGTAAAATAATTTTTAATAACAATGTTAAGTTTTAAAATTTTATTTAAGAATTGAGTTTTTGAATATAATATGTAGGTACAATTTTTTTTATTGAAATATATTTTTCTAATACAAAAAACTTTATTTTATACAAAAACACAATTAATTGATTATTGAAAATTTTAACAATTTTCTAAAAAAGAAAAAATAAAATATATACCTAGGGGAGAGTGCTCGACTAACCTTTTTTCAAAGACATATTAATATGTTAATTTTAAAAGTGTTTATAAGCACTTTTTGGTATTAACATAAAGTTTTAACTCTTTTCCAGATAATGCACACGTTGTATTAAGATTACATTGTACATAATTAAATATAGAAAAATTTTAAGTTTTTTGATAGATTCTGCTTATTTTTAAGGTTCGTATTCTAAATAACGTTAACAAATGTTGCAAAACACTCATAATTTAATAATATTTTACATTTTTATAATCCGATGGCAATTTTTATTTCAAAAATGGCTAGTAATTTTTTTTCACGTTTACAGTACTGCTGATCAAACGTCATATCTTAGTTATAACCTAAAAAAATTTTTGGCCTGAAATTTGAACAGCTGCGTTCTCTTATAAAGTGTAACTTTTTAAATTTTGTAGAAAAATATTTGTAATAATTATTAGGTAATTACACATAAAAAAAAACTGAACTCATTTTTTCTGCATCTCATTATGAGATCTGCATCAAAATAAGTTAACATACAACTTCACGTTACTCAAAATGAACCTGCGTATATAAAAACTGTTAAAATATTCGTTGAATGTGATTAGTGCGTCGTATTGGATTTAGTGGCTATAAAAGCAAGTTTTTCATACTAGATAATGAATAATTGGGGAAAAGAAGGGAACTGGGAAACATTTCAAAGTGATTGTATTCATAAATTATTTTTTAAAATAAAATGTATTTATGAAATTTAAAAAATTTTGAAATTATTGGATATTGTATATAGTTAAGAACTTATTAGTAAACGAATCAAAATACAATGTTTCTTATTTTTGTCGTATTGTTATATATACAATTTTAAAATTAAAAAAAACAATAACAAAAAAAAGTAAATGAATTCTCTCAAAACTGCACGCAAAAATTAATTAACTCATAATAATCATTAACAAATTACATCTTTTATTCATATAATGATTGTAATTCATTTGAAATACATGAAAAATAAAAAAATAATTATATCAATTCGTCATTTTTAAGAACTCGTTGTCGCTTTTTTTGTTTTTGAAAAATGCGTTACTCATAACAATGTGGAATCATTATTTAAAATTCAAGACATTAAAATTTAGAGCGAAGCACGCGACACAATGACATGTGACGTTGATGGTTTTCATTGGATACATAAGATGGAAAGGGGTGGGGAGGGGGTTAAGAGAGAGACTTAATATAGTCTATACCATACAACTGTGATATATATATATTTGTTTGTGTGTGTGATAGGAGAAAAAACATATAATCCCTCATAACATTCCGAACTCCTTCTTCGGCCTGTTCCAGGGCAATTTTTCCTTCCCCAGGTTTTTTGTATGGACAGGACAATTGAGAGCGCGTATGGGTTGCATTGGTTGCGCGACCTGCATAATATTAAGAGAAGCAACGCGTTTTATAGGGCCACCCAAGCAGTATTATGGTGTGTGTGGGGCCGCGTGTGTGACTGCTCTAACATAAGACGATTAGCGCTTGAAGCCTCTACTTTTCGCTCGAGCCGCGCGTTGACAATCTCATGGTGATTGATTCAGCTACCACCTATTGGTTATACATTCACTAGAGCCATGGGGAATCTTTCTTTTGCGGCATCGCGTAAACTCCTATATATATACAAGAGAAGACTTTTTCAAAATCTCTGTCTCTTCTACCATGGGAAACGCACCATAAAAGCGAGAACCATTGCGCCCATGCCGTGTTATTACGATATGAACGCGCGGCATGTCTTTTATATATCCATGTGATAAAGAAGTTTTTTTTTGTCGGCTAAATCTTCAAAAAAGAAAAAAAAACGACTTTTCAGATCAACTTTTTCAAATTGAATATACGCGATTCGAGATTTTTATTTCAAGTATTTACCTACAAATTTTCTCAATAGAAATCAATTATTACATAAATTTTTTTTATTTTTTATGTACCTGAAGTTCTGAACGTACAAATTAAGGAAAATAATTTTTTTGTTATTCTTTATTTCTTTTTATTAATTAATTTTTATTAAAATAAAAATGCTATAAATTTAATCTATCAAATTGAATAATGCTTGTAAATATATATTGAAATAATTTAAAGTGATTAAAATATTTTGAATTCTTTAAAAAATTATTTTAAAGTGCTTACAAAATCTTCTAATATACTTTGAAAATTCAAAAGTTTTTTAAAGTTCTCTACATTATCGCAAAGTAAATTTATAAACGCATTTTTATAAACGTCGCAGTGAAGTTCAAAATGTTTATATGATCAACGATTTAGAAGAAAAAATAATTAATTATTATTTTTTGATTTTTTTTTCTTTTTTCAATCGTTGATCATAAACGTCAACTTCACCGATGTTTTAATACTTTTATTTTCTTTTATTATACAAAATAATATTTTAAAGCTCAATTAAAATATCCTGAATTATTTAAAAATATATTCTTTGAAATTTCTTATAATATTTTATCTAAATAAAACTTTTCTAACGGTTCTGGAACAAATATTTTATATATTTTATAATACTAATAATAATAATAATATAAATATAATAAATATATATAAATAATAATTTATTTATTTATTTATTTTTACAATTCGATTATTTTAAACCACTTGACTGTCCTTTTCCAACTTAATATGACATAAAACTGACATTAAAATAATATGTAAAGTCTTGATTTTTCACATAAATGAATATATAATTTTTTTGACAATATTTTACATAAATATTTACAATCCTCGGTTTTTAGTCATATATAATATAATTATATATTTTTCTCGTCCCAGAAGCAATTTTATATATACAAGCAACAAGAAATTCATAAATAAAGAATAAAATGTGAATATTGGATCGTAAATACCTTTCTCTTGATAACTGAAAGCTTCAACAAAAATTCCAACAGTAAAACAAGAAAATTATTTTTTTTTAGATTTGTTTTTAATACTTTTCCATTAAATTTATTTCGCGACTTTCCAATTTAACAATCTTGGCAATGAAACATCTCTGATTTTGCATAAAGAAAACAGTTTTATTTAAAAAAAAAAAAATTTTCAAATAAAATTATAAAATTACATTTAAATTGTTTTATTGAAAATAAAGACAATAATTGCATACTTTGTTACAGATATTTAGATAATTATGCAGAACCGTTATGTTTTTCCCAATTTTTGTAAATTTTTTATTTATATTTTTTGGAGTATTTTACATTTTACTTTTTATTTATCTGAAATATGAATTCTGTATAATTGCATTAATCCATTTTCAACGAAAACCATTTTTCTAATTCAAAAATATTAATTTTTTCTTCTGTATATATGCTTCTTTTTCTATTCTATTCTTCGTTATAATAATAATTGTTCTTCTTATTTCTTTTAAACTGTAAATTTGGTCAATTAGAGAAAATTTCCAAGTAAAAGAAGTACTTAAAAAGTGAAAAGTACCAGGACTTCCTGTAGGATCAAAGTAAACCGCCTTTGATTGAAGTATACAAAGAAGAGTGACATTTGCTTGTTACCCTACTTGGTAAAACTGTTGGTTAAAAAAAAAAAAAGAAAAAGGATCTTTAAAGAAGTTCAAAGAGATTCGAAACTCTTCACCGGAAATTGGGCAGCCTTATATATGTATATATATATAGGAAATGTGAAGAGAAACTTCAATGAACGGACGCCGAAAATGAGGTCGTGAACATGCAAAAAACGCTTTGTCTCAGCGGGCTTTCTTTGTCAACCCTCTTTCGATTTTATATATATTATATCCTGACACCTTCCACGTGACTTTTAACGTCTCAAAAAATGTCCGTCCTTGAGTTTGCACGTAACTCTCCCGTCTCCATTTATATATACATACAACAACCAGTAGGCAATCGAAGAGAAAAGAAGATACATAGTGTTTGAAGGGTGGCTATTTGGAGCCACCCTGCTGGTCGAGACTAGTAGCGGCTCGTTTTATCCCCGTCACAGGACATACATAGATCACTGGGTGTCGTTCTGTTTACCACAAACGTCCAAACATCGAACGACTTTGGATCTATTAAAGTCGACCCAAAAAAAACGCCAAGTTTTCTACTAAATCGAAAGATAGGTGACAAGGGCGCAGGTAAATACCTGAGAGACACTAGTATGGGATCCGAATGACTTTTCGGGGGATATAACCATTGATGTGAAACCGCTTTTCGGGGGCGTGCCATTGGGACTTGATTTTTTGAACTCAGGTCGAATATAAGCTCAAGCTTCCAGTAAATGTATATATCCTTCGTATATATAGGTTCCCGTCCGATCGTATCTCGCGGCAAACGTAACATCCAAGCCTCTTGATCTGCCGACTTTGACCTTCTCGACTCTTTTTTTTTATTCCTTTTATTTCGTTCTCTTCCATCTTCTTCAGTCTTTGCCTCCTCCATTTCGAAAGTCATCTTTCTCGATATATAGTTCTTCTTCTTCTTCTTCGTCTCTACACAGCATGGCACACCATGTACCTATACACACGTTTTCTTCGGTCCATTAGTCGGCAACGTCTCATTCCTAAATGGCTTCCTCAGGTTCCCTCGACAGCTCGTCGATAAGACACTCCATACGAGAGAGGACATTACAAATATGTCTCGTCTACGATTATATACAAGCCATGGACACCGTATATATATATATATATATATATATATACAATTGATATGTGTCCTTGGATCAAGATAAATTAGAATGTCAGTTCACGACACGCTTCTAATTACGAATCGAAATATTTGTTATGTATAAATATATATATATATATATACAATCGCATTCACTGGTGTCCATTTCTCTATAATGATCCTTGACTTCACTGAAAGGTTACTCAAAAATCGTTTGCCTTGACTAATAGTTAGCTGTTTCGGGACGGAAATTGATTGGAGATAGATAAGTTAATGTTAATACAATGTTTTTGTATTCAAAAAAGCTCTTTAAACTATGCACATCAAAGGGAAATTTTTTTTTTTATTTACAAAAGAAAATTCCTCTTTGAGATACAACTTTTTCTCTCAAGTGCAGAACCTAACGGAGATGTCTATACATTTTTTAAGATAAAATTAAGGAGGTTCTATCGTAAAGATAATTAACATTACCATTTTAATCAAATTTGGTGCACTGGTATAGATGCTTTTTTAATGATGAAATTAAATTTTTGAGACCTCTGGTAGATATGTACTGGAGAAAAAAGTTAATTACAATTTATTTCAAATAATTATGGATGATCTATTTTTTCAGAAATCTTTCGTTAAATAATAATTTTTCTCATTCAGTTCAGATAAAAATCACAATTTTGATCCAATTCAAAACATCAGCAAAAATGTTAAATTTTATAAATATATGTATTTTTTCTTTTTCTTCATCTTCTATTTTTCCCATTTATCGCTCTACATATTAGCTATTTTTTCTAAGAATTGCGAGCTTTTTTCAATAAGAAATACGCTCTTTTAAAATTGTAAATTCATTTTATTTTACCTGTACATATAATCATTATTCACCCATTTGCTGATTATTATCTTTGAGAGATTTGCCTTTGATTTCTGGAATTTTCCAAAAGACAATCAACGATGTAACAAGACAAATTGTTGCGTAAGCCAAAAAAGGTGAATGATCGCCAAAATTTTGCTTAAATATCACGTAACCCAATGTACCAATGAAGCCAAAAAATGATCCTAAAATCGAGCCAAATGTCATTGCAGCACCTTTAACGTGCAATGGAAAAAGTTCACCTTGCAATAGATTTGTAATAGGTGCCACACCCAATGTATAAACAATTCCAAATAAAATTAATGAAACTAGTGGAAGCCACGTCACTGACGACACATCAATTTTGAAAGAATTTTTCAATAGAAAAAAAATTCCAAGCACACTCAAAGATAATGATTGTATCAATGCTGTTGATATAAAGAAAATTCTTTCACTCACATGTTCAGTGATGTAAATTTCAATAACACCTGCACAGAATTGAAAGAAATTGAAAATCATAAAACCATATTTAGAATTTAGAGGACTATCAGAATCATTTAGTATTTGTTCCGAATATCCATAAATAGTGTGGATACCAGTCATTTGATGAGTTAATTCTAAAAGAACAAGAATCATCAGACTCTTTCGATATTGAATGTTGCGAAATAAATTCTTTAAAGATACTTTTCTATTTTTCTCATCTTCAAGAATGACGAGTTTTATTTTTAAAATATCAGATTCCACCTTTTTCGTCTCAATTACACCTTTCAATTTTCTTAAACACTTGATAGCTTTATCATCTTTATCCTTGATAAAGTAAAAATATGGACTCTCTGGTATGAACCAATGTGACAGGCAAATTATAATGACCGTTATAAGAATCATTAAATTCACTGAATTGTATGTGACAAAAGAAGCAATTAGAGAAAACAAAAACATACCTCCTTTATCAATCAACGGTATAATGATTATAAATATTTCTTTAAAATTATTGTCGAAAATTTCTGTTAAATAAATTATTATACATCCGGTGAATATTGCTTGGGAGATACCACCTAATAGACGTGCTACACACAAACAGATATATGAATCAAATAAAAAAATTAGAAATAAACCCATTAGGCCAATAATAATTGACAAGGTTATTGAGAATTTTCGACCAATTCTGTTAAAAAAGAGGGGATTTAACAAATGTCCAATTGTTTCGCCAATGAGGTATATCGATACCATCCAAGCTGCTTGAATTTCAGAAATTTGTATTGGCGATTCCACACTTATTAAATAGGGCAATGATGAGGCAGTCCAGACTTGATAGCCGCTGTATTGAAGTCCTCCAAGGCAAGCTGTAACATATAAGTATATATAAACACAGGAAAACCTAGCAAAAATTGATAAATAATAATGTAGAAATAATAATAATATTTCTATATTGGTAGCACTGGGGGATTTTAGTAAAATTTAAAAATTTCGCGCCATTAAAGTTTTGTATTATATGGTTGGCACTTGTACTTGATAATAACTCACAAGATTCTTAACCTAAAAATTCTGCAATTTGCTTTTTGTAAATTGTCGTAAATATAAAGTCAAATTTTTTTTAGTAATATACACGTATAATTTTTTATTTTTCCACTATATAAATAACACTTAAACCTCGAACTTAAAATAACAATATACAATTTTTATTCAATTATTATATTATTTGAGCAGTTCAAAATAATCCTTATTCAATATATTCCCATTAGTAAACATTAAACTCACCACAAATTCCAACTGAATATTTGTAAAATTTATTTTCCTTTTCCACTGTTATTTCAGAAGAAACATTCCTATTTTCGTTTAATGATCTTGGATCTATTTTACTTTTTAAAAATAATTCAAATTTTTTTGTAATCTTCATATTTGAAGTATTATTTGTGTTATAACTTGTAAACCTTGCAAAACTAAGTTTTCCCGTTGTATATTGTATATTTACTACTTCGTGCGTCACAATTGCCAATTACGCAAGAATGAAATATATTTAACGCAACGTTGTTTCATTTATCTAAAAATGCATTATTGTAAAAATGATAGTGCACTGAGTATTGTCACAATAGAAAAACATATATAACGTTTATTAGTATATAATAAGTCAATAATTTTTTCGATATATTAAGAATAATAAATTATAGAATAATTTTTAAATTCATGACAAAAAAATTAGCATATAAAATTGATTTAATTGACAAAATAAATAAATTATAAAAATTTTTTTTTTACAATATCTTCATATTTTATATTTAAATGCCGCTAAGTGATAAATTCTTATTACTATCATTTTTACAATATCTTCAATAATTAGAGATAAAAAAAATAATGTGATTTCATTTCGCTAATTCCGTGATCTAATTAAGCGAAATACGCGACCTAGTTTCGTTATCTAATATCACGGATTGCGTGCCCTAATTTCGCGAAATAGGTGATCTAATTTTGCTATATTCCGCAATATAGTTTTGCGGAATCCGTGATATAATTAAAAGAATTCCGCGACCTAATTTTGAGGAATTCGCAACGAAGTTTTGCTAATTATCTATAATATCGCGTATTGAGTGCTCTAATTTCGTAAATTCCGTAATCTAATTAAGCTGAAATATCCCAACTAGTTTCGCAAAATTCGCGTACTTGCTTCGCGAAATACGTGATTTAATTTCGCGCATCTCGTGATATAATTAATTGAAATCTATGATTTAATTTCACGAATTCTGCGATCTTGTTTTGCGATATTCGTGATCTAATATCGCATGCATTGCATATGTCCTAATTTCACGAAATCTGCGACTTTGCTTCGCGGAATGCGTGATTTAATTCCGTGAATCTCGTAATTTTATTAAGTGAAATCTATGATATACTTTTGCGAATACCGCAATCTAATATCATAGAATTTGTGCTTTAATTTTGCGAAATGTGTGACTTAGGTGCAGGGTACACGTGATCTTATTTCGCAAAATGCGCGACCCCCGGAAATAGTTATCAAATTTCACAAATTTTGCGAAACAAGATCGCAAAATTTGTGATACAATATCGCGGATTGAGTGCCCTAATAATTTCACGAAATTCTCGATTTTGCTACGCGGAATGCGAGATTTAATTTCGCAAAATCCGTGATCTTGTTTATCGGAATCCGTGATTTAATTTGGCGAAATTCGCGATTCACACATTTCGCGAAGATATATCTTCGCGAAATGTGTGATTTAATTTTGTGAAATTTTGATCTAATTAAGCGAAATCTGTGACCTAGAGTTTCGCGGAATCTACTGTGATCTACTTATGCGAATTCCGCTATACTAATATCGCGGAATGCATGCCTCAATTTCGCGTAATCTGCTATTTAATTTCGCAAAATCTACAACATAGATTGGCAAAATACACGTGATCTAATTTTGCAAAATTCGCGGCTTAGTTACACGGTATGCGTGATCTAATTTCGCGGAATTTTTACCAGTGCTGTGTCAGTACTGTTGACCACAAAAATTTAGTAAGGACTCTAAATTACTATCAACAAAATTTAACATTTTTTCGTATACGTAAAGCGCTCTATTTCAAAAAATACTTACACGGAGAGACCGCTGGTTGGAAAAATTACTAAAAAGATTTACAAGTAGCGGAAATAAGGTTACTTTGTCATATATTGCTGTAGGAAATCGAAAATTCTATTAGCAGCATACTTAATAAAACCTCTATACTATAGTAAAATTGCACACAAATTGGAATAGAAATTACTATAGTCTACAGTTTTATTAAGTATGCTGCTAGTAGAATTTTCGATTTCCTATAGCAATATTTGACAATGTAACCTTATTTCCGCTACTTGTAAATTTTTTTAGTAATTTTTCTAACCGGCGGTCTCTCCGTGTACGGAAATGATGAGTTACTATAATATAACATCGCAGGTCCTCCAGAGAGAGAAAGATAATCGCAGAAAATGTTTAAGAATTATATTGAAACGAAACAAAAGAAATATTAAGAGAAAAAAATATTTGAAATTATCCGAAATATGTTAATTTGTGAAAATTAATGTTTCTATTATAATTATAAAAATTCTATGTTGTTTCTATGTTCTCATTACGAACTGCAACAAAAATGAGTTCAGGTTTTTTTTATGTAAAACAAAAAAAAATATGATATTTTTAAAAAAAATGTTAATAATAATAAAGACGATGACATTCGGACAAAATAGATTTTAATAAATATTATTCTCCAATATTTTAATTATTTTAATAATTCATTAAAGAAAAATTATACTATTTTTCTTATGGGTCGAACAATAATATTGTATTGTTGCTCGTATCGAGATTATTAAGTTGAAATACTGTTATATAGCGTATCATGAATATACATAATAATTGTTAATTATATGCAGCCTACTTTAACTGCATTTTTCCGAAAGTAATGTGTTTATGCATATATATTGCAATATATTCTAATTGCTCACCAGTGGTTTGCCTCCTTAACATTAACCTGAAGTAATATCGTAGAGATAACGCATTTTAATCTACATTGTATGATATATACATATATAGTATATGTATACTTATAAACATCAGGTACTTGTTAATAAATGCATACGCAGTTATCTCTTGGAATATGTGTCTTGGACAATTAGTTGTGATTTGTTGTCATGAACAAGTATGGTATATATACATTGATGAAAATGGCGCAGTAAAGTGAACTGTTATCGACTGATACCTCCTCAGTTTAGTTTAAACATGCTCATCAATCGTATAAGTACATGTTATATATATATGTATACATCAGACATAATGTAGCGCAATATAAGATAAGTGCCTTAAAAAATTATTTTTATAAAATTACATTATTAGGATTCATTACTTGACATATATAAATTTTACATTTTTTTGTTACAATTTATATATTTTTTCACGCATAAAAGTGTCTTAAATTAATATTAAAATTTTTATTATTTTTTTATTACTCTTTTTTATATTAAAAAATTAATAATTTAATTTTTTTCAAAAAAAAGTTATCACTTATTTCCGAGATATAGTGTATATATATTATATTTCCTTTGGTTCCACGAGGAGTGAAGGTTTGAAAGGGGGCAGCACTAACAAGACCTCGGAGAAACTGTTGGGAAGCTGGACAGCTGTCGGTGTTAGATGAGAAAAAAAAGATGAAAAAGAGAATGATAGACATATATATATACGAGGTGCACCAAAAGGCCCTGGATTCTCTATTCCCACGCGACATAATGCCACATGAGATACATCCCCTGCGCCTTTTTTCATGGACCCTCCCTCTCATTCTCTCTTAGTGTCGAAATAACATTAGCTGTTTTACCAAATAACAAGATTTATCATGTTCGCCCTAAAAAAAAAAAATAGTAAGAGCAATTCCAAAATATAGACTGACATTTACAAGGGATTTTCACTCAAACATATTGGGTTCATTGCTTTTCAAGTATATTATATTATATGTCTGTTGCTATCCGCAATGGGGCTGAATTCTCGATACCTCTATATATATATATACTACAGATGTAGAAAAAAAACTTTATCCCTTCATTAATTCACAACTTAAGTCAAATTAGTCGATAAATTCCGAAAAAAATCCCTCATTTCAGTCAATAATCAAAATTTGAAATATCTCTGCATATTTATTGGGCCTGTTCACACAAAATACGTAACGCTTCCAGGGGGGAGGGGGGGTCAGGCTATTTGTTACGGACATCAAAAAAAATGGCGCTAATGTATTTAACTGACCGTTACATGGGAGTTGGGGGGGGGGTTGAAATTTCAAAAAAAAAGCGTTACGTATTTTGTGAACAGCCCCTATTAGTCCAAATCAAAAATCTACATACAAAATAAGTCGAGAATAAAAATCTGTATATCTATATAATCACTGAAAAAACGCTGAATAAATTTTGTTGTGGATAATTTGAGGTAACCAATGCTAATTCACATAGACGGTGGCGCCCCCAACTAGGATAGAATTTGTTGCAGATAATTTTTATACCGATTTTGAGGTAAAAATTCTACTTTTTTTAGTGTAATTAAGGGGGATGGGTCAAAAAATTAAAGTTCAAAATGTATTCGATTTTCTGCAAAAAAAAAAAATAAATTACTGTGTTTAAAAGTTTTAATTTCATTAACAACTGATGGTAATTGGTTCAGTATGGAAACAGAAAAAAATTCTTCGAAACATGAAACAGAAAGCAGAACCCACAAAAGTTTGAAAACAATTTCATTGTGAAAGAGATGAGCTTTTGAAGGACGAAGTATTCAATGTCAGACTACGAGTTAAGGATGTCCATCATTAAACCAATTTTTGTTTTGAAGGGGGGCATAGAGTCACGTGTATACATTTATCAGCGACGAGGAATGCCCTTGCACTTGTGAGTGAAGGAACAAACCAATCTGAAAGGTGGACGAAATGATTAGGCGGCAACGAAGAAGAAAAAGAGGTCTCATCTCGCCTCGACGGGTAATTGTTTTTAGAGAAAGAGAGAGAGAGAGAGAGAGAGAGAGAAAGATAGCTGGTTGGTCCATTCGTTAGTTGGCGTTTGTGGATGACCACCTAGGACGCGCGGTTGGAGAGACCCTCTCAAAGCGCCGTCGGGATTATGACCATAATGGTGCCCGTTTGTCAAAACACGTCAAAACACAATTCTGACCACGAAAATCTTCTTGGTGTACGCGGTCACGCCCCGCGATGCATCATAACTCTATATCTCTTTCTCTCTCTCTTCTTCTTCTTCTTTGCTTCTTCACACGTGCGCTCTTCTTCGTTTCTCATATATATACAAGTGCGAAAGAGAAGTCCAAGATGCAGATGCACCTTCACCTTGCCGAGTCACTGAACTAACATCATTCTCCTCACATTTAGAAAGTTTAACTTCTTTTTGGTCCTCTTTAAAATCGTTTGTCATTCCATTCACTTCACGTGAATGTTTTGCTGCAGTAGCGCGCTAATAGAATATATTTTGACGT